ATTGTGCATGCGGTATCAGGCTGGCAAGTGCTCTTCTTCGGATTGCAAATGTGTTCACGCTTGTGCTTATCCGAAACAGGATGGGGCGGCTTGTGGAGCAGCGCACTCAGCTTTGGAGCATCAGCGAACTCCCCACTGACTTCCGGTGACGCACTCAGACCATTCCGAACCAGCCGAACGCGTTGATCTTAATTTAGTTTCTTCTCATGCAAACCCAGTGCACTTGGAAGCTTCGCGTGAAGCGTTGGCAACCATGGCTGGAGACGATGACTCTCCAGCAGTTCTGCACTCAGAGCCTCCACCAGGGGAGGAGCCGAATTCGATTCCTCAGGGAATTGCACCAGTTTCATCCGTGACTGAACAGATTTCATTCATTCCAGGCCGATTCTTTTTAGATTTATGTGCAGGTGCCACTCGCCCTTTGTCTTCAGCATGCCATGCAAAGGGTCTCAATATTTTTTCTTTTGACATCCTCCTGGACTCGTCTTTAGACATTTTGAGCGATGGCGCGTACGAACAACTGCTTCGAGTTTGCTCTAGTGGCCAAGTGGCCTATGCAGCAGGAAGTCCGAGCTGCAACCAGTACTCTCGTTTGAAGCTTCGTAATGATGGAGGCCCACGGGCCCTTCGTACACCGGACCATCTTGATGGAGTGCCCGGACTCAGTCCTGATGAGGTGACAAAGCTTCAGGAAAGTTTCATCATGCTTTCTAGAGTAGTCAATTGTTTGCGCCTCGTATTCCTTGCAGGTGGTCATGTTCACTTGGAGCAACCCAAGAATGCCATGTCATGGCTCGAACCGGTTGTCCAGAAATTTCTTAAACTGATCTCTGCTTCGTGTGTTTGCATTGCGGCATGCCACCATGGAATGGACATTGCTAAGAGCTGGATCTTCGCCACGAGTTTTTCAGCCCTTCGTTCTTTAGCGTGTACCTGCACCCACTCGCCAGGGGCTCACACGCAAGTCCAGGGCACACGTGACTCCACTGGTCAGTTTTTGAGTCGAGTTACAGCATGTTATCCTGCATCCCTAGCTGACGCATTTGCATCCACTGTTGAACCGTTGATTTCTAAAGGTCATTGGGACTTGAACCTGCATAGTGCATCCGCCACGATTCCATGGAAACTGTTAGGAGATTTTCCTAAGAGCTTTGAAGATGGAGGTGGCATCATCTCTCATCCCGACTGGAGCGATGGTCCACGCCTTGAATTCGATTGCTTTCGATCCCTTCGACAACAATGGCTCCAACGAATCGTGCAGTCACAAATGCATAAACAGGTCCTGGCCCATTTTGGCCAGGCAAAGTCCGACCCACCGTTTACTGCGGATCAGCTGGTCCCTTTTCGGACTGATTTGACAGACTGGCTCACCGCCAATAACCGTCCGATTGGGTGGGGTGGGGCGGGTGGGGTGAGGGGTAAGTTCCCCCAGAAGTGGCAGTTGCTTAACTGGACCTGATCGAAACACCAAGTGAGTCACACGAATGCGATCGGTGTGCGAGCGGCAGCGATGCACACCTTTTCTATGGCTGCGGATGCAGGTATTGGGCTACGAAGTCTTGAGCCAAATGAATTAGGTCGAAAGCGGACTGAAGAGCTACAGACTAATCTATACAAGAGAACAGGTGCTACACACGTATAGCGTAGACACGCCTAGGGGACCTAGGACCCTACCAAACACAAAACAGACAAATTTTCTTCGTGTCGAAGCTTACGATCTCTAAAGTACAAAAGCTTGGATAGCAAAAAGATGCAAATGAATTACAGAAGTTCTGTCTTCGCAGAACTAGACCGTAGATGCCATTCTGGCTCATCTAGGTTGCGTCAGATAATCTTTACAAATCTACGAAAGGCATACTTGCTGCATCGAACGTTCCGGAATATCGGAGATCTTCTTTTTCAAGTCAAACCGTTAAGTCGAAATCAAATCTATAGGGCCTTTAGTTTTGATGTATCTGCATACCACCATGAACTTGATGCGCCCGAGGACCAGCGGTCCGATGGCTGCCAGGAATAGTCCCATCCTGCTTGGCGAGCTTGTTTATTCTGCCGAGACCGTTCCTTCAACATTTCAAGTCTTTCGGCATTCTTCTCGCCACGGTTCACGGCGGATACCTGGCTGCGAACTCTGATCTTGTGTCGACTGGCAAGTGAGAAATTACACTGGAATGGATGGTGATAACCCAAGTCACTGCTCTTCAAACACAGATCAAGATGATTCAGATGCTTAAGGAGTTCGTTAATCTTTATGGTAGTCTCTTTCTGACGAGGAGGCTGTTCGTATCCAACACGTCCACGATCATCCGGAGTATCGGATGTTCTCGCCCGCAACGTATGCATGTCCTCGCCGTAATTTAAGGCGATCTGCAACATGCAGTCGCAATCGGCATCCAGACCTTCCAAAGCGGCGAGCTGCTCACTGGCGAGGGTTGAGACCTCCCAGTTATAGGTTATGCGCTTGCTCGGCTCACGCTTCTTGTTCGCAGAAACAAGGATCTGGTCAAGGATGGTGAGGACAGCTCCGGTTGCCGGATCGGCATGTCGATCGCCCCGGAAGTTGCGGTTCGTGAACTGATTAGCATCGCACGCGATGACGTCCACCTGGTCTGCCACGGCCGTAATCAAAATCTTCATAATGGCGTTCTTACCGGCCGTAATACCTGACTGAAAGGCATGGGCATTGGTATGAAAAGCGCAGACTCGAAGTTCAGGCATGCGCATGCGCTTGCAATCGTTCAAACTCCCGGTCCGGAATGTCGGACACTCGTGGAACAATGCCTCTGCATCCACTGGTTCAGCTTCAATATAAGTGGTGGGTGCTTGTGCTACAGCTAGACTGTCAGGGCAGACGATCACCTCCATGTTATCTGCTGGGTCAGCGCCTTCTTCAAGGGCAACTCGGAGGTTCTTTCTTACTCCACGGTCATCGGTGATGCCTCCATCTCTGTTGATTGATCGACCTTTCCCCAGATCACGTGGAATGTCGCGGCATGGGCTACCCAGGCTAGGCGGTCGCCTTCGAGCTCGATTCGGCGGATGAGTTCCAATCTTGATGAACCAAGGTTATCTGTGGAACAAACTGCTGCAATTGCAGGTGATTCGCCATCCGCCACGGCCATGACACATAAGCATTGATATTGGTTAAAGAGCTCTCTGTGGCGCTCGATTCCGTTGGCCGTATTCCTGACAAGATAGTGCGGAAGAACGGCGTATTGGTCCGTCTCGGCGAGCTCCCTGGATAGTGGCTGCCTGCCGTTGAAATGAGGCGTACGATTGATATCGCCAAAGTTGAGGAGCAAGACGCTGACGTGTTCAGTCGATCGGAGGAGTCTTGCTTCATTGAGATCAAAGTCTCCCTGGTTTGCGCGATATCCTTGCATGTACGAACGGCTTAACTCGACGATCTGTCGCATCTTCTCGCCGGTATATCGGCGGTTGGAGTCGTAAAAGCAGCTTGGCCGAATGATGGGATACGGTGCCACATCAGACTGTTCGTCCCAGTGTTGAGCGATCGAGGGAATGGAGCGGCTCCTGTACCTAGAGAATCCAAAGCTGTCTTTTGGACATCGTTTCTCCAAATGGCGAGGTGGCATTGCCGTTTGTAGAAACATTGCCGTTTGTAGGGAAGGGTAGGGGCTGCAGCTGTAGCGTGCCAAAGTGACACGCGCAGCCAACCCACATGACTTGCAGTGAGTGCTCTTTGCATATTTCACTTGCCAAACTGGCGCGGCGTGCAATCAAATGACTTACCTAGAATTGTTTTTGCGCCTTGCCCACCCTCCCAACATAAATTTGCGCGCGTGCTTACACTGCCCTGTCGCATGACTGTGCTATCTGCTCTTGCTTAGCCCAGTGACCAGTGCCTTTAAGAAAAGGTGTGCTATCTACTTTTGTTTTTTCCAGTGCCTTTAAGAAAAGGTGCTTGACTCCACGTCAACTACATGTAACATGTTTCGTCTGGCCCCCTCCCTTTCGGTTTTGTTTCCAAGGGCTGCACTTTCCTGAAACCTTTTTTTGTTGTTTGGCAGGTTTCCTTTGTTACCAAAGGAAAATACAATAACGAATAACCAAACGTGATTGGGTCAAACTCTTGGGACCTTGAAGGAAAACAGGTGTCAGTTCTTTTGTGCATAGGTTGGTGTGCAGGTCAGCGTTTTTCCCCTGCTGTCGTTTTCCAAAGCAGCACTGCACTCACAAGCCTGGCCGCACAACTATCTGGCTGCCATGGCCCACGATCGAGTCAAGGGTGTAAGTATGCTTGTAAATATGAACAGACAGCAGCATATATAGCCTGTATGTTGTGTATGTTCGATCGCTTTTTCAAGAAACACCAAAAAAAACAATCGTTCAAGATGCCAATTGCGCCTAAGTTTTCATCGTCCAAACCCACAGAGATGTTCATTTGAGTTTTGGTCTAGCTTGCAATCTTCACGTCGACCGTGGACGTTCACCAAGTGCAACGAAGCGCCGGGGCCACGGCTGGAAACGCGGGTGAAGAGAACAGCTCGGAACGCGGCTGAAGGGAATGTTGACCACAGATTTTTTGATCTTTTGATCTAGGTGGATTGAAGGTCAGTAGGCTCCATACAAATGAATGGAATATTCACAAGGTAGGCTCCATACAAATGAATGGAATTCACAAGACAGTGACTCTTATGTTTAGGGAAGGTTGCGTGTTCTGGCATTCCCTTCAGCTCTCGGACTCAGTGTCACTCACTTGGCGCCGCCTGAGGTTGGGTGACGCGTGACTGCCAAGTGCCCTTCCCCGGGATGAGATGCTTAATCGAACTGCAGTCATGACTGACCTTTTTCAAAACTAGAACCAGGGATGTGCATCTGTAGACTTGGCACTTGCAGATTGAGCTCATGTCGAAGGTGGATTCCATGTTTGTTCCTGTTCCGAGAGTGATTTTGGCGCAGTCCCTTGCGAACCCAGCCCGGCCTTTCCGTTGATCGAACTCATGGCGGTTGTTCAGCGTGAGCCTAGTGTTGAGCCGTGGCGATCTGTGAGAGCCTCGTCCCAATACTTCCGCAAAGGTTTGATTTTGAAGGTGCATGTATGTCAAAGATCTGGCACCATATATGGACCGTGTAACTCATTGTTTTTCACTATCCCCGCAAAAGAACTATCCTCATACTTGGTCCTCGCAACCATCGCCCAGGACCAGGAAAGATCACATGGAAGCATGCGGACGTGGACTCTTGTTCAAAAAAGGGCAAGCTTTTATATTCGAGGGTTGAACTTACATCCATGAAAAGAGGGTCTGAATCAAGGATGAGGTGCCGGTTCCTGGTAAATGAGCTTAGGTCGAGTTAGCAGCTTTGATGCAAGCCAACATCCCAACCACTGTCCTAGCAACCATCGACAGCGCCGAATACCAGGGAGGAGGGCTGATTGCGTTACCGGAGTCGAAGTTTGTGAAGACCCCCACTGCGAAGGAGTTGTCATCGAACATCATGTGGCTGAAGCCTCTTGTGACCTACTCACCCTCAAAGGCCTGGGACACCATGACTTATTTGTGGTTTGACGTTTAACTAGCCAACCTCATTTTTAAAAAAATACGAAAGACATACTTGCCACGCAAACAGCTTGCGGGACTTTTCAAATCCATTGCCATCGATCCAGGTCTTGGGTGCATATTTTCTCACTGATGCATGGCTGATGTTGGATCGGAGCTTGGGATTCAAACTTTTTCGTCCGCAGCCCCACGAAACGCGGATGAAGTTAGCCGCGTACGAGGCCTGCAAGGCCAAGAAATGCATGGGGGCGCTTCGCAGCCTGTGGAGGAGTTCAAAAACCGGTGGCCACGACCAGAACATCCGCCACCTCAAGAGCTTCCTTCGCGACAGTCCAGGCCGTCGCGCTGATGATTCGCCGGTTGATGATGAAGCTGGATCAGATCCAGCATCGGAGCCAGAGCCTGTGCCTGCGCCAGTGCTTGACGATGACAGGGAGTCCTGCTCCGAGTCAACGTCTGAAGAGGAGGCGATTGAGAAGGACGCAGAGCCTTCACCAGACTCTGAGTCTGATTGCAATTCACTGACGGCCAGGACGCTGCGATTGGGTGAGTCTCCCGGATCCAGCTCAAGCAGTGCATCGGAGTCGCCTGATCATCGAGACTCGCAAGTCTCATCTGGCTGGATGGGCAAAGCCATGTCAGACATTACGCGGCAGACCATGGCAGCTGAAGCATGGGAGCGGAAGCTCAAGGACCTCCTCCTTGACATCAAGTTTGATTTGCAGGAGCAGCTGCATGTTTCTATGGAGGGGGCTGAGTGGGACCAGTACTCGGAGTGGTGCAGAAATGTTTTGACTGCTCACGGTGACTCGGTCTACGCCAAGCTTGCCGACGCTGGCCACTTCAAGCGGTGGATTTTCCGGCAGAAGTCTCAGCCGGGCGAGGAGAAGGGTTTGCGCGTGAGCGTCTGTCATTTTTGACTTGATGATTTGTTGACCGATGAAGGGTGGGGAAATGTTGACTGTTGGGGTTTGGCCTCCAACACGTGAGGATCATCCTGGATGCAAGGCGCCTTGAATGAAGCAGTTTTAGTTGATGTTCTTTTTCAGGGCTGTATAGCTGATAAAGCCTATCAGAGGGTTGTAGCGCATAGTGCATTACGTTCAAATTCAACTGCCACGTCCAGGTGAGCTTGGACAAGGCTCTTCGCACTATGAACATGGAAGTGGCCGTTGAGGAGGAGGATAACACGGTGACTCCTGCTGCAAAGCGGCCGCGAACGCTGGAGGTTGTTAGCATGGCTTTGGATGAAACGCCACCTCCAGTCGTTGGGCCCCAAACCGTCGCTTAGAGGTAGAAACTGAGCAAAGCACTTTGTCTCTTTTGGGTTCATTTCTCCACAGGAGAGAAAGAAACAAAATAACACAGCTTTACAACTTTTCAGAGAGGCAATAATTTTGCTATCTTGTCATGTGACGTCAGGCGAAGACCATGTCGGCGGTCAAGACGGAGGACAAGATGTCGGAGTTGGGCGGCGGTGAGTTTGGTGAACCTTTGAAGAAATTCCACTCCTATGATTTGGATGAACTTCAAGTGCCTCAAGAAGCTCGCCCCAGAGTCGGGCAAAATCATCTTGGCCGTCACGGGTACACCCTCAAGTCCAGGAATGGCGCTGAGTCTCGATTAACAATTCAAGAGTACTTTCACGCTGTGTATTTCCACATTCCCAAAACCCAAACCCAAAGACAGGGCTTGGGGTTGTTTCAAACCGAAACCAATTCGCTCAAATCAAAGTTTGTGATCTCTTGGAAGGTTGTGGAGTGCTTGCTCAAAACCCGGGCCTTTGTTATCAAGAAGGCCAGCGCACAGGCGTCCACTTCGCAATCGCCCCGCTCCTCCAAATCCACAGGCCAAGTCACGTGGTCCAAATTCGGGGGGGCTGAGAAGGCCTGGCTTGCGACCAAATGCCGCGCTGGGTGGTAGGATTTTCTTTACATGTCTTGGGTCATTTGCTTGACATGCCTTTCAGAAAGGACATGTCCAGGGGGTCACAGCACCTCTCCTAGGTGTTGAATTGTGTTCGACTTTCATCCAACTGAGATGAACCAAAGGTGCAACATGTGGAAAAATCTTTGCTTTATTCACTCTAGGACCAGTGTGGTGTAACATAAGCAAGACGCTCAAATATCCTATCGGCTTTGGAGTTGCGTTCCAGGTACTGTTCTGCACTTTGACTCGGTGGCCTCTACTTGCTGGCCTTTAGCTGCAGGCCTGTCCTACAGTTCTTTCCTTTTTCAACCCTTCTGCTGCAAGAGAGTGATTTGGGATAGTAAAAGAATAAAAAAAGTTGTCCTTTAGAACTGGAAGCAAAGCATTGATAGCGTGCTGCACAATTGGACCTACTACACAATCCAGGTTCTACATCGACTTCGTTGACATCCCGTTGACCACTTGGACCTCACCGGCAGGCCTGCTCTGAGTGGTGACTCTGAAGGGCAATCAACGGGCCTGCTCCAAGTGTTGACTCTGAAGGGCAATCAAGAGGTCTGCAAAAGGCGTTGCAGTCATTGCTCTAGATCTATGAGTACATGGTCAATCAGAAGCGCGACCTCAAACGATAGACCTATAGCGCAACATTCCAGGTTCTACTTCGACGTCATTGACATCGCGTTGACTTGGATCCCAGCGGCAGGACAGCCCTTGGGTTGGGATGGGGGATGTCCTTAAATTGGAACGGTGATGTTTGAGGAGTCTTGTGTGGGAAGAGTTATCAATATACAGTATATGTATATAACAAAACATGTTTGTTGGACTTTGTGATGACTGCTCATGAGAGACAACTAGTTTGAGATGAAGCAATACATTCCAGGATCTGCTTCTACTTCAACTTCATCGACGTCGCGTTGACCAGTGTGATCCCAGGAGCAGGCCAGCTCTGCCGCGTTCTCCCTCCAAACGTTGTATCTAAAGTCTAAAGGACAACCAGGCGGTTTTCAGAGGAGATCAACACTAGACGCTCAAGGTGGAGGCATGAGGTGCATTGACGCAGTATTCACGCCCAAGCGTTGCAGGTACTGCATGTGCTTCTACTTGCCTATAGGACTGCATTGCGTCGCGATGCGCCGCCCCTATAGAAGATCTAGTTGGAAGAGGTCGCACATCAAAAACATGTTCAATAACACCCTTAAACTCTTGTTTTTGGCGTCATCCAAGCACCACAGCTTTTGGGCTCTGCTTCCGGTTCGGTGGGCCTCCAATCCAAGACCATCGAAGATCCATAGATCCATCGCTGATGGTGAAGCGTGCGCCTGCGTCGAAGCGTGTCACGCTGGAGCAGAGGGTCCGCAGATGTCGGGCAAGTTTGCCCTTTGAGGGTGGCGAACCTATTCCCCCAACCCTGCCACGAAGTATGAAGGAGAAACAAAGGGCTTGGTTGCTAGATGGTCTCCGGGCCATGGGTGCTCCTTTGGCTGCTAGAATTCAATTAGAAAAATCGGACAACAAATATGGGATGTAAATCAATATACAGAGGGAAGCTGTAATTGTTTTGGCGTCGCTGCTGCGGGCCAAGGTTTTTGCTACGATTGTGAGCCTCCTCTTCCAGGTCCCAGGACTTGACTGGTCCCAGCCGCTGCAACACTTCGAGTGCTTCAGCGGTGACATGGAAGTGACCAAAGCGGAGTGGGCTGTTGCTTGTTGAAAGCTGCAAAAAGGCTATCCTTATCCCGTTCCCCACTTGAGGCAATCTGACCCCAGAACGTCAACCATGCAATGGTGTTAGTGTTAGGGGCTTGTCCCGGGGTTTTGGGGTCAGGTTGGGGACCTGCTTTGTTGGTTGTGCCCATGCTGATCGGCATGCAATGCCGTTTGATGTGAGATTGGATTCGGAGAGGATGGACCTACTCTCCACGCAGGGCTTTGCGAACGCTCTCCACTGCGTATGCAATTTGCGCCCAGGTTCAGGCCATCTCACGGCTCCGGTTTGCTCCACTTTCGTGTTCATGCTTCTTTGGCATTGTTCAGAAATGTTTCTTTCATTTTCTCTCTTAACCTTTTCTGGATAAAGGCTTTTTCAGGCGCCGCGAGCAGCACCTTGTAACTATCAATTTCGGGGCCATTCAACATGTTATCCAACCATCAAAGGAGTCGCGGCTCCACGTTGAGATCAGCATTGAAGCCTTTGGGCCGGAGGGACTCCAAGGCATGCCAAGATGGCAATCTTTTGGCCGCGCGAGCTTTGGTGCTTGTGGTGCTGGCGGCGGCAAAGGCGGTGTTTTGGGTGCTAGAACAACCCATGACGTCATGCATGGAGTGGCATCCACTTTTCCAAAAGGTCATCAGGATGACTGGGATGCAAAAGCTGCTGGTCACAATGGGCAAGTTTGGTGCACCAACACCAAAAAAGACTCTTTTGTACACCAGCGGCTTTCTTGCATCGCTCAACTTTTCTGATGTGTGTTAATGTTTCTGTTGTTGTACGGAACACCCCAAACCTCTTGCGTGGGACTGCGTTCAAAAGTGAGCCAAGGTCATGGTTGCTTGGCTGACATCACCGAGTATGAGATTGAGCCCGACTATAGTGACAACAAGGAAATGGTGGTTCGCTATACCAACGCCAAAGGTGAGGCAAGAGTCCATGGAGGAACAGATCTGAAGGGCTCGCAAAGCTACCCTAAGAAATTTGGGGAAGCTCTATCCAAGGTTCGCAGCAAATACCAAAAGAAACACCATCGCGAAGCGATGGCATGGTTGCGGCAAGCCCGCCGATGTGAGCGGGACTATGATCGCCGCCCACGGTTGAACAGGGCATGGGTCACCGGTGCAAACCTGCAACCAGTCCTAGATTTTCTTTCTGCTAAGCAGTAAAATTAGCTGCTAGCTGTTTGGCTTTATTCTAGAGTGCTTTGCGGCCTGCCCCGCAGTTTGCCTGGAATCTCAGTTATGCGCTTTCTATCTTGACGGGGCTCAGATCAAGAAGGGAAGTGGAAGAAAACAAGCGTCCCCTGCAGTCACGTTCACTGTTGTTTGGCACTGGACAGGCACCGACACGTTCTTAGCTATTCGCTGCAAACACATGGTTTTGGGTGACTGTGGGGGCTTTGTTTGATGGCCATGGCTGAAGGTCACATGTGGGCTCCAAAAACTCTCACTCTGGCCCTGACCCCTCAAAGTTTTAGTCAGCCGCTTACCCGCGCTTTCCAGGAGGCGCCTCGAAATCATCTGAAGGCCTTCAACTTCACCTGCCAGAAGGCGTGGCTTGGGGGGCCATGCAGTCGACCTGTTTCGTGATACCTTCTTTAGAAGGATCCAATGGCCTTTAATTGCAAGATTTGTCACGGCCCATGGTTTGCCTGCGCTTGCACCCACCCAGTCTCCTCTAAATCAGGTGATGCCACGCCTCTGCTTGAAAAGAGCAGCCACTCAAGAAGGCCTGCAAACGGCGTCGTCGAGCGCAGAATGCATTGGCAGTGAAAGAGTCAACCAAGAATGGATTGTCACTGTTTTTTTGCACAATTTCACTCATGCGAATTGCAGCGAAAAACTTGCGAAATGGAGCGAAATGTTGCGAATTGTAGAATTCATCACAAAACCCACTGGACATGTCACACTCAGAACTCTTCAGCAACCCGGCTCACACCCAGGGGGTACAGGTTTAGCTTAGAAGAACGCCATTCCATCATGCCAGATCCGAGAACACCACCTCGCAAGAGGCACCGCTCGAAAGGACCTGGTAGCCCAAGGCCTCCCGCCCTTAGAAAACCAGTTCAGGGAGAGAGGGAAAGAGGGCGACCGAAAGAAAGGTCAGTCAAGGTGGATCCAGTGCCCACCGAGATCCCTGACAAGAAGCAGAAAGTGAAGAAGGAGAAAAAGGAAAAGGATAAGAAAGAGGAGAAAAGTGATAAGAAGCGTGAGGGAAGCAAGAAAAGGGTGGCCGCAGAAGCCCAGGAGGCCCAGGAGAAAGAAGTGGCCAAGTTGAAGGAAGTGCAGGAGAAGGCTGGAGAAAAGAAAGAAGCGAAGGGTGAAGGCAAGAGGGAAAAGAGGGATAAGAAGGGTAAGAAGGAAAAGAAAGACAAGAAAGACAAGAAGGAAAAGAAGAAGGGAACAAAGAAGAACGTGAAGAAAGAGTCAAAGAAAAGGAGGTCGGATGAGAAGAGTGATGCGAAAAGAATCAAGTACGTACCATGTGTGAAAGAGAAGATAGAGCACATCTTCGATGACAAGGGTGACTCGAGGGCTGATGAAGGGTGCAGTGAGGCGACTACAAGAAGCAGCTCACGTGTCCGAAGCACGACGAGCATGTCGTCCAAAGAGAAGGCTGAGCAAAAGCTCAGAGAGTTGACTGCTATCATGGGTGATTCCGACCACGACGAGAGTGAGGAGGTGACTGATGAGGAGGAGCTCTTGGCGATGGGAGACGAGGTCAACGCAGAAGGCGCAGAAGAAGAAGACAGCGATGAAGGAGAAGCAGATTCAGGAACCGAAGAAGAAGAAGCAGAAGAGATGGGAAGCGAGGAGGAGGAGGATAAGGAGGAGGATGAGGGCAACAGCAGTGAAGAATCCGGGGATGAGGCGGAGGATGACGATGAGGGTGAAACTTCGGGAGAATCGGAGGAAGAAAAGGATGACAACAAAGAAGAGAAGGAACGTGAGCAGGAGGAGAAGAAGAAGTTGGAGCACGCTTTGGTCCCAGTGGTCAAAACGTCTCAAGAGAGCGTTCAAGTTATGAGGAACTCAATGACTAACAAAAAAGAGTGGGACACCTTCACCAGACAGGCAAAGACCAAGATGCCCATCGCGCTCAATGACACCTATCAGGCTTCGAAAACTGAACTCTTCAACATGTGGCTCGACTCGAATTACAGCTGGTCTGCCTGCGCTTTAGCAGTAGAACGAAAGCATCAGGAGAGCAACACTGCAAAGAAGGGATGGAAGGCAATACAGGGGAAAGAGCTCAAGAATCGCTACACTGCTGAGAAGTGGGAGCAGGTAAAGAAAAAGAGACTCGAGCAAGGGCTCTATTACAAGGACGATGACTTCCCAGACGACGATGATGAAACACGGCAGCATCAAGCCCCAAATCAACTGCGCGGCGGGGTTGTGAGAAAGCATTGGATGAACAAGACTAGGTCAATAACCCCTATGTTGAGTGTTTGGTGTTTGTCCATACAGTGCTCAAGCCACTACCAAATTGCCTCATCTCCATTTGCCCCGCTCCGATCCTAGGAAACTTGGTACTTTGTCAAAGAAGGAGAAAGTGTCTCGAACAAGGTGGAAGTACAAGAGTCCATGACGTTGGCCGCTCGACTGGACATGGACGAGAACATGAGACAAGCCATTACCAATGAAGAGAATGGACTCATGAAGGTTGGTGCTTTGCCAAAAGTCAGTGTGGCCAGCACTTCTGGCAACAAAGCCTTGATGGAAGCGATCGGGGACAAGGCGAGCTGTTTGTGTCAATGTTTGTGTGAACCTCTGCCAAAACTTGGGTTAGACCTATTCATTCGTGGAGCAAACCTCCCACGCCTATATTCATTCATGGAGCAAATCTCCCACCAGCAGTTCTAAATGATCAACGATTGCTCCAGCATGTTTGTTTTACCCAAACTTCACAACAACAGTATACACTCTCGACCACCGCGTGCAGGTGAGCGCCCCTGCAAAGAGAAAGCCCAAGAAAGAGGAGGAGAAACCGGAGAGTGTCACCCCATTAACTTGGGTTGGCAAGGGGAAGAGCACCTTACCTGAAGTCTTGAAAGCGGCGGCTGACTGTCGCACTGCGTCCTTGAAGCTTGCTGGGATGGAGTACGCCCAAGAGTTGGCTGGAAACCTTTTGAAGCAGGCTGAGGAACTGGAGAAGCACTACAAACTCCTGGCAAAGCACGTCAACAATGAGTCCGAGAAGGATGTCAAGCTAGTGTTGGGAACGACTTCAACCCGCTTGGCTGCAGTGGAGCAAGCGCAGGCTTGGCATTCGTTTGTGAGATGTTGTAGTGAAATCTTCTGAAACCTTTCTCGATTCTCCACAATGGTGTTGCACCCTTTCCCACAGCTCCACATACCTGCGCCAAGTGCTTGATCCGCTCCTTTTATTTCCCCATGTTTCCGACACATGTGACCAAGCGTTTGGCAGGCAGCAGCCGCAGCATTTCTGAAGAAGCCCAACCCAAAGAAGAAGGCCAAAGGCACGAAGGATGGAAAGGAAAAGAAGTAAGGGTTGCCTACCATGAGAGGAAGAGGCTCTCACCAATTTTAACTTTCGGTTGCGCAAGTGCTGAACATTTGCGCTGTGGGGTCTTCAGCAAGGGTTCCATAGCCAACAGTGAACGCTGTTCCTGGAGCCATTGCCCATGGAGCGTCGTGAGCTTTAGAGGTGGTCGCAAAAAAATGCCATATGGCTTGTTTTTAGCTGGTAACTTCTTACATGAGCACACAGCAAAAAGAGTAGGGCGTTGCACGCCGGCCCTTCCACCATGCGTGCGCTCGTCAGGTGTCCTCGCCTCGACTTTGCACCACGCGACGAGGACGGCAGTGTGGACCGCAAAGTCAAATAGTCCTGCATGAAACATGTCACGCAGGAAACGGCAGCGTTTGGAAGGGATGCCTGATTGTGCAACTGCCAAGAAACTGATCGATTTGATTGGTCGGGGCAAGTTATCTATCGATGCAGCTGCAGAAATCTCTAGAAATGTCGACACTGTGAGATTGCTTGGTAAAGCTTCGTTTTGTGGTTTTCCGTGAGGGTAGCTGGTGTGAATTAAGAACACTTCAAATCCACTTGGTCTTCATGAACTGCTGTCTCAATTTGAGGTGGCAGACCATAACAGTCCTCACGAAGCGATCATCGCCTTCTCCACGCTTGGCACTTCCGGCGCCAATCCTGGGAACGCAGAGAGAGACCTTCATAGGTGGTTGCGAAATTTATTTGGCTTGTCGTTGCAGCCATATGTTGTGCATATGGATTTGGAAGTGTCTTGACTCAAGCGCATGTGTTGCTCTTAAGTGCAAAAAAAGGGTGGTTGGTGGATATACTTTCCCAAACCCGGAGAGTGGGCAACTCACTGTGTCACTGCGTGGCTCATTGAGGTGAATGGCTGGAAAGCAAAGCCACTTGATACAGAGGTCCATGTCTTATTGCCGCATGAAGTGATTCACGCCATATCTGGTCGCAATGCTTTTGACAGCCTTTTGTTGGGGAATCTGTCTGATGATGCGCGGGTTGCTTTCTGGGACCATGTGGAGACGCTACCACCATGGGAGCATCACCCTGTGTTGAGAGCTGGAGTTTCAAAGAAACGCTTGATCGGGTGCAACGTACACGCCGACGGGGTCCAGTTCTATAGAGAGGACGAGTACTTCGTTTGGTCGTGGTCGAGTGTCTGGGGTGGTCAAGGGATGGTGAAAGACGTCCTCCTTTTCAAGTGGCCCATAGCTATAATTCCAGAACGGCACATGAGGACCCATCAGGTTGCTTGGTATTTCTCAAAGTACCATTGTTGATGTTTCCAAAGCAGTTGTTTTCGATTTGTGCAAAACACACCTAAACAAACAAAGTGGTCTTTGAACATTGACCTTGTCTGATCCCTACCCTAGGTTCGATCTGCGGTGAACAAGAAGATCGCCGAACTGACGTCCTGGTCGATGGACATAGCCGCATCTGGCGTTGGGCCTCTGACAGGCTTTATGGGTGAAAGCTTGGCTGGCACCCCAAGGGAGCATCTGATGGGGCAGGATCTCGCCAATGGTTGGAGGAATGTGGATGTTTCCAAAAATCTCTTTGGTGAAATAGTCAACCCAAGGGTCTCTTCTTTCACAAACTGTAGATCTAAACAAAAGGTATATGTATAGAGATATATATATATATAATATATATGGTTTTCTGATCAAAGTGTCTTTTCTAAACATCATGCTCCTTTCAGGGCTTGCTACTTTGCCTTCAAAGGGGACCTGAAGGCAAGACATGAGGTTCACTGCTTGCAGCGATACTATCGATGCAACCGGTGCCCAATATACTCACAGAAAGTTTTCCAAATGGTTTGCCCACTATGGGGTAGGCGCAAAGGTCTCTGTGCTTTAACCTCAACAAATGTCAGATGCGACTATGTCCAAGGTTTCGTGATCGCTGCTTAGCTCTGCAGGGCACTAAGTGCCCCCGCAACATGGACTTCCGGAATATCGGAAGTGATGCGGCCTGGCCCATGACGGCAATCTCGCATGAAACCTACATGGCTTTAGACCATGCATCTTTGAGCCCTTGGAGGGTAATGCCTGGGTTCAACTTTCTGTCCATCACCTATGACTTTACGCATAACTTTTTTTGGGTACAGCTCGAGACCTGTGCGCCAGTGCCATAAAAGTGTTCATCGATCACAGGCTAGTTGGCGATCCAGGATCCATGGATATGGATGAACTCCTATGTCTTATCCATGGCCGGATGAGAAGAGTGTGTCGTGAGCATGGGTACCTGGTACTTGCGTTGGCAGCGCATTCTTTTCGTATTGTGTTTGGTGGCCTATGTGACAGCCCTTGGACGTCCCTCCACACTGTAGCAAAAAGAGACAAACAACAAAATACTTTTTCTAATCCAAAGATGGCCCTTTCGCGCACACATAGGCTATCGCTGCCATGCAAACCCAACCTCACTCTGGCCAATATTGGAGGGGAAGACGGATACTTCACCATGGGCAGCAGGTGGAAAGCGTCTCACATCAAGTTGATCGTTTGGTGGGTTGCAAAAGAATCAGAACTACTAGCTCGTGGAAGCGCTGACCCTCTGTTCAATCAGCGGCCACACTGTTTTCACGTACATGTTTCCCCTTCTTGCAAAGCCCAAAAAGCCAACGCATTTCATTGAGCAGGGGTTTAAAGTGTTCTTCATCAATAGTGTGGACTTTTGCAACCCATTCAGGATCCAGTGCTGCATGTTCTCGCGGCGTCTGCCTACGGGCTTCAGCGGAGCATAGAGGTCATGGACCTGGCAGGTGCTATTTTCACGGAGCTGGAAGCCGAAGAAGTGCATACATGTCTCAACCTTCACCTTCGAGCGTACTTCTGGTTAGCGGCCTACTTCTACCAAAGGATTTGGGTCTGATGCAGTTTTGATACGACAAAAAATTCACACGCAAACACCCACACTCCAGTCACAAGTTTGGGACGGCTTTCGCGGTACATCGGTTTGTTCTTGCACAGTTCATTTCCCTAGGAGACAAATGCTGTTCAAGATCCGCTGCAAAACGCACTACAACCACCACATAGCTGAGGATGTGAAAAAGCATCGGCTTAACCCAGCGGTGTATCACACATTCCAGGAAGAAAGTTTTCTTGGCAAGTTGAAACACATCGCCGTGAAGTGTCACGGAAAGACTTGCACGAAGAGGGTGTTCCAGCGGTATCTCCTGTGCATTGCAATCTTTCTAGAAGAGTTTGACAAAACAGTTCGCAGTGTGGAGTGAACGCAGCTGCATGCAACAAAACTTGCCGTGCTTTTCAAAACTCCACGTTGAGAGCTGTGTGGGGTCGTGGCGCCACACTGGACGAAGGGACCCACGCAACGCGCGCGGAAAAAGCCTGGAGGCTGGCTACGACCATTCATGTCGGGCGCCAGTGCTCATGTGGAGCGGATTGGAAGATGGTCTAAGTATATAACCATGGGCTCCAAAAGTGATGGAGCGGATGTGGTGCTCACGTGTTGGTCTGAGTGTTTGTGAAGATGGGTCCTTCATGATGACATAGACCCTGTAGGCCCTATATAGGTTTAGTGGCCTGTTTTGTTGTCGATGTTTCGTGCTTATGGTTTAAACATGTTGTGTTCTGGTTATAGGTTTAGAAGGCCTGTCACCTCCTCAAACTTCTAAACCAGAAACGCAGTCGGACGGTCTCGGCACTCAAGGTTGAGAGTCTGGATGTCAACTCTGGTGTCTCACTAAGAGTTTGAAAAAACTGCAATGTCTTAAGGCCCTACCAGAGCACAAACTCAATCATGTCTTCGCTGCAAAGGCTTGGCTCAAAAAAAAACAGAGGGTGCAACTACAACCGTCGACAACCGTGGGCGCTCCTACTATCAGAGCGTGCAACATTTTGGTAGCGGAGGTACACTGGATGTAAAGGGGTCCTGTGAACACGATCTCAATGTAAATGGGTTAAGGTGCAAACGGCCCCTGCGCAAACGGACCCGGTGTAAACGGAAACGTTGTAGAGTTAAAAACGGCACCGCGGTCATCGTAAGTACATATGTAAACGACCACGGTGAAAACAAGAACCGCGTAAACGGCCACGGTGTAAACGGCCACGGTGTAAACGCCCACGGTGTACATCACAAACTTGCAGTGCAGAGATCCATTGTTAGCGCAAATGGTGACTGACACTGCAACGGTGACACCCCTTTGCGCAACCAAAGGAACAACTTAAAACAACAAACGCCCACGGTGTAAACGACCACGGTGTACATCGCAAAAGTTTTTTCATTGCAGAGATCCGTTGCAAGCACAGATGGTGACATCAAAAGCGCCATGTAAGTTTGCAGGCTGCAGCGCGTAAACGACCACGGCGTAAACGACCACGGTACAAACGCCCACGGTGTAAACGACCGGTCTCCACACCAGAGTTCCAGTGCATAGATCCACGGCGACACATTTTTTGCACGCAATCTAGAGACACAGTGCAATTTAACAGGCTGCAGAGTGTAAACGACCACGGTGTAAACGGCCACGTTGCCAATGCAGGACCTGCAAAGCTAAAGTACAAAAACTTTCCAATAGCTTTAAGTCTTTGTGCGCATAGGCTCAATTTGCAAACGACAACGTTTTAGGAAAACGTTGTCGTTTGAATGCGAACATGTCCATTGCACAGCGTTGGAGTCTCTAGGTAGGTTGGATGGTTCGTGTAATGGTATTTGCTAGCTCCTTCGAGGACAATGCGATCCATCGCTGCGTGACCTGTTGAGCCGCCACCGAGAACAAGATCTTTGATTTCTTGCAAACGGTGCAATCGACCGGCATATCGGTCGTCAGGGCGCCAACCCTCGGATTCAGCTGCGAAGGGAATCGTGAAATCAATCTCTGCCGTGATCTCTTCGCGCTCGTGCTCACCCAGCGGCGCCGGAATATTGGCGTCTGGGACTATCGAACAGAGGTAAATGCTATTGCGTGTGCAATGATTGCTGACCTCATCATAGCAGTCTAGGCATGTTCCGTGACTGCATGCCCTACAGAAGAA